CGGTCCGTCACGAACGCCAAAGTAGAGTTTAGGTGATTGCCCGCCTTATCGTAGGCGTCGGATCGGGGTCCCATCCCACCACGCACAATAAAAGTGTGTATAGGCGATTTTCTGGTCCGCCGCATACAACAAAGCGACAATCAAAGTTTAGAAAATTCGTACCTTCATGGGGTTGTAGAGGTTGGCACGTGGATCGAGGCAGGAAGAGAGGTATCATATTTTTCTTAATTTCAATTAATCATGACTAGTTATAATTAATTATAATTATTTTTTATTAATAACAATTAACAATAATTAATAATAATTAATTACAATTAATATCAATTAATTATAGTTAATCAAAATTAAATATAATCCATAATAATCAGGCATAGTCGGAAGGAGGAGAGGGCTGCTTGCAATCGTGGAAGAGAGGAGGCGTCGGTGTCCCCGAAGGCTTGAGCTTGTCTCCCTCTTATAGACGCAAACGGGAGGCGATCGAGGGCAAAATACAGGATTTGGGCAGGATTTCTCGGAGAAGACCTGTTCGGCGCCGATTTCAGCCGGATTTGATGCATGATTCGTGGATCCAACGTGCGCAAGGTATGATTTTTAGCTTATTTTTTTTTGTTTCCTTTGGATTTAGCATGCAGATCAACAACTAGATGTCACACCATTATATTACATATATTTTTCCTATAGAGATATTGATCTCCATATTTGTTTTCTTTTATGTCGGGAGGACATGCGTCCAAGTGTCCCGCCTCGATGCTTACCATACATATCTTAATTCTTTCTTTGCTCTACCATCATAATAGATGATTGCTTTTCCCTGTACCAGGACCTTTTAATGATGGATTTTTGGATGTAGGGACCAAATGTCACGTCTTGATGTTCATGTATAAAGCTTAGTATTATCATTACTATTTTTTGATGCTGCTATAGCACTTAGACGACTAGCCAAAGATGGAAAGAGAAAACAAACCCCAGTGGAGTCGCCAGAAATCTGTGGGCTCTGAAAATTCGGCCCGTCCTCCCCCGCTTGCTTTTTCTTATTCTTCGGGGGAGTTTTAACGGAATTAAGTTCTGGAGTAAATTTTGGAAGACAGATGAGTTTGTAGATAAGACACTACCCAGAGATTTCGCCCTCATTTTGCGAGGACTTTATGATCTGAGTTCTGGTTTCCTATAGGCGCAAGCTCCTATAGTTAATTATCCTTCCCGATAATGAGAGAGAACTTTCGATTAAGGCTAATCATCAATCAAATATGTAGAAATATGCATTATCTGACATATAGTAGCGGCATAGGCATAAGTATTTTATTTTTTGATTTTTTTCTTTGTTTTAGAGGTCAACATCAGCATACCTCCTTCCCATCCATCCATCTTCCATCCTTTGCCAGCATTTCTAGCCAGTCTCCAGTCAGCCAAATGCAGCTTCCACCCGTAGTTCTTCAGCAATATTGGGCACCGCTCTTCATTTTTGCCCAAACTTCTTCCTGCTTCTGTCTCCAGCCACTTTTTCTCCACCCAAGACCTTCAAGAAAAGCAACAATACACCTATTCCAGCTGTTGTTTTAGACATAACACCCACCAACTTGCAGCTGTTGTTGTTAAGAAACAGCAAACCTCAGTCAAGCCACATTCCCTGCATTATTTCGATAAGAAACAGCATCTTGCAACTGTTTTGATACCTCCTTTTCAGCGTTCTCCGACAACCGATGCCCCCAAGACACAGAGTCCCTCCAAGAACCTATTTGGATGGTTACTTCAGCCATAATAGCCCTCCTGACAACAGCAAATCTCACCAGCTGGTAACCTGCTACATCTTGCATCTGCCGCAACATCCTTCCAACAGTCATCCGATTGTTTTTATCAAAATATTCAACAACATTCAAGGATTCAATAATTACTGGCAACCCGCATCTTGCTTGCACTGGAATAATAATTTTTCAAGTTTACATCAGGTTCTCCATTTTCTTGTTCTTTACTGAAATTTTATTATTTATTCTACACATTCTACTCATTTTTCTTTTCGTTTTTCTTTTTTTAATTTTGGTATATGTACCAATTCTCGTATAAAAGAATTTCCTCATTCATACCCAACATGAAGAATGTTGATGCTGAAGCTCTACGCTCAATGCAAAGTAATCATAATTTGCAATTTGCCGAAATCCAAAAATCTCTCCAACAAGCTGATATTCAATTAACTTCTGTTGGCACATCCATCCAACAATTTCGAACCTTCATGGACTTCATCGATAAATGTCTTAACAACTTATGCATTGAACGACCGCCTTCCTTTCAAAATCAAGATCCTGCTCACTCTGCCGGTATTCTTGGTTCCATTGGGTCCCTTCCCACTCCACAATCTATCCCAGTCTCTCTACGTTTTTCTTATCTTCAAAATAAGAAAATTGATCTTCCTCACTTTTAATGGATCTGATGTGAAAACATGGATCTTTAAAGCATAAATACATTTCGATTTTCATAATACTCCTGATTGTTATCAGGTTTGAATCGCTTCATTTCATTTGGACGATCCCGCCACTACTTGCTATCAATGGCTTAGGATGAAAGGTCAATCTCTTCCTTAGTGTGATTTTATGTTATCTTTACAACGATTTGGCCTTTCTTCTTATGAGAATTTACATGGGAATCTTTCAAAATTAACTAAAAAAAAAAATCAACTTTGGATTATCAAACAACTTTTGAAAATATTGCATTTAAAGTTCCCAATCTTTCGGAGTCTACCTTTATTAGTTATTTCATTTTTGAACTCAAAAAAGAATTACAATGATAACTTTTACTTGCGTGTCCTTTTTTTTGGATGCAATGGAACTTACTATAAGTCATGAATCAAAATTCAAGACTTCTTTTCTACCTCATCCTCAAATTGGCATAAACCAAATCATTCTTATCCATCCACCAAGTTTACACGTCCTACCTCTATCCCCTCATCCAACTTCAACCCCACTCACTAGGCCCAACCTTCTCTCACCATCCATAAACCTCCTAACCTCCCAAATCGCAAACTATCTCCTGCTGAAATTCAACATAGACGTCAACAAGGCCTTTGTTTTAATTGTGAAGCTTGGACCCCAAATTCGTTGCCCTAATAAATTCTAATTATTACTTGGCACTGACGATGGTGAATGCATGAAGTCCCCTCCTTTTCTCTTGATATTGATCATAACCACGATCTTTCTTCTAAAATTAGTTTAAATGCCTTAGCAGGACAATTTAATCCTCAATCTTTTTGTTTAAATGGCTATATTAATAATCAAAATATTCACATTTTAATTAATAGGAGTACTCATAATTTTATTCAATCCAATCTTATCCATCAACTTGCTCTTACTCCACAAGCCACCAATTACTTTTGAAGTTTCAGTAGGCAATGGCAATTTACTTTTTTGTATAGCAAAATGCCCCAATGTCACAATTACTATGAAAGGCTATCAGGTCACCTTAAATTTATTCATCATTTCCATACATGGGGCCGATGTCGTCGTGGGTATGCATTGGCTACAATCCTTAGGATCAATTTTACGAAATTATCGCAATTTGACTATGCAATTTAGTTATCAAAATCAATCCCTTATACTTTCTAGCGAATCTCAATTATCCTCAAATCCCATTTCTTTCAACCAATTATGTGCCCTCATTTCTCATTCCTCAACCATCCAATTATTCACTATTCAACCTCACCATCTAAATACCAACCTTGCACCACCTGACTCTTTAGAAAAACATCTGGATACTCTCCCTCATCCTCTTCCTACTCCCATTTGAACATTATTATATGAATTTAAATACTTATTCAAGCCCCTATAAGGGTTACCATCACCACGAACCATCGACCATCTTATCCATCTCCCTTTTTTATCCAAACCTGTTAACATTTGTCCTTATCATTACCCACATTATCAAAAGGACGCAATGGAGAAATTAGTTTCAGAAATGTTAAAATCTGGTAATATTCACCATAGTCATAGTTTTTCTTTAGCCCTAACCTTCTTGTCAATATTTAGTTGGATACATTGACTCAACTACACCGCTATGAAAGTGCAAAGTGACCTTTATAAGTTGTAATTGTATGAATAACTAGTCTGACGTAGGAAGTCAAAAGATAATTGGCATTGCAACAATTTTGCAATTGTTCCATTGTTATCGTGCTCTTGATCATCTCTCTGGCTCTCTATCTCTCTCACCACTTTCATCATCTTTCCCAATAACCTTTGCAAGTATCTCATAACAAATAGGACAAAGATATGGATTTTTTGACCGTGCCATATCTAAATTTAGAAGTACACATTGATGGAGGCTATCATTTAGTTTTGAGACCAATGTTCCTTAAATCTGACAATATTCACCATAGTCATAGAATGGGAGAGCGGGAAACCAAGAGAGGGGGGAAAGAATAAGTAAAAGGAATCAAATTTCTAATTAAACCAAACACATCCGATCACAACCTAAACAACCCTTCTATAGACTTCCGAGTAAACTAATGAATGACACAAATGAACCTATTGATAAGTGATCCTTATTTCATGGTTATCCAGACATAAAGAAGAGATGAAAATAAGAAAAAACGTAATAAAATAACTATTCAATACTAACTCTTCAAGAAAAGAATTTTCTGTTGTAAGGCATGGCAGAATAGGAAGTGAAATTGATTCATGTACACCTTAGGCCATCTTGTAGGCAAATGTAAACATACACGGCTGAAATTGTAGGCAGGAAATCATGACAAGCATAGATATATGCAGAATGGATATGGAGTTTCTATTACAGTTTGGCTCAATGGGTTAAGCACCCCTTAGCATGATAACCTCTCCTTCCTACTCAAGAAAAAACCAAGCCTAGAAGCCATAGAAAGTATTAGGAAATGCACACAAGCAGTCAGTTAACATGAAAGATCTCATAAATGGTTCCATATTATGATTTCAGGAACTAAAAATTATTAAAAACAACATGATGAGCAACACAATAAAGTTAACAAAATGGAATGAAATTACTTTGAATCTGGATTCATCAAACAAAACTGATCCATAAGCTCCAGAGCCTCAGATGTGCTTATGCTGAACGACTGCAGAAAGGTGAACAAAATTCTCAAGCTTAATGACAGTAAAACGGCAATCCCAAAAAAGCCTAAAAACAACAAACAAAAAAATGCTAAAAGAAGAATGGCGTACCTAATGAAGTAATACATTAAATATATATTAAGAATTTTACAAAAAAAATAATATTTAAACAATTAAATCAATAATTAATATATCTACTATCTATATAATGGGCGGATACGTGAGAGAAGAAAGGAAAAAAAATGTAGTTTTAGAAACCAAGTGAACTGGAAAAGGGCTAAAGTGGTGTTCATCAGAAACATTCTAAAATGTTTTAAAAAAATATATATTTAACAACAAACAAAATCATCCTCTAGCCAAAAACACAGGAAAAGTTCGTTCATTGTAGCATGAAATTTTTCTTGGATAAAAAAAGTCAATAGTGATGACAGCATGTTAGCCTCCAATTTCTCAATTTATTCGGAAGGATTAAGGTATTGGAGTGATTGGAGATTTGTTTTTAACTACTTAAATCAGATTAAAATACCATATCTTCAGGTACTCCGAACTTCAAAAACCCTTTGGCCTAAATAACCAACAATTACATGAGAAACTGCTTTACGGACCAATAAAAAATTACAAAGTTAGTTCTCAACTTTGAAAAATTTTACTTTAAAGTTTAATCTTGAAAGTTTAAGAAGGAATTTATATTCTTTTAACAAAAAATAAAATAAAAACCCACTCTACAAAGCTAGCGAATCTAATGAGGGCTTTAGGTAATGTATGGGAACTTAGTAAAAGGTTTTCTGCTGACCAATGTCAAAATATCACATCTCTGGGATCTGAACTTAATATATCCTCAAAACATTAAAAAAAAGAAGCAAAAATCGAGATAAGTAATTTTAAAAAATACCAGAAGGTTTCCTTTTATGATGGATATTTTTATTTTTCATTGTAAGGATTTGAATATATTTTAAGAGTGACTTCGTATGTATTTCTAACAATTTAAATCTGACACAAATACTCAGGAAGAACTGTCTATCCACATTGTTCCAAGCAGTCAACAAACCCTTTGGTCTACAAAACCAAAAATGATTGCAAAGGTTGCAAGATTGATGCTAGGACCTTTATGAACAGTTTCAAACATATGTAAAGTTAGATCTCAGTTTGTTAAGCTTTCACTTTATTCTTAACAAGTTTAAGGTGATTTCTTTTGTTGTTTTAATAAAAACTGTCCACTTTCCAATGTTGAAGAATTACACGAGAACTTTTGATAATATATGGGACCTAGCCGAAAGGTTTTATTCAGATTATTCTAATCAATGCCAATGATCCCGTTTCAAGGACAGCATTATACATCCAAAAATACAATAATGAAAAGTGCAACCTAGAGAGTAAGAACATTTCAAACAATTCAGGAGGTTTCTTTTCATGATGAAAAGATACCAATAAAATATGTACATAATGCATAGGCATTGGAGATTAATTACGTACACTTTCAACCCATGCCATTTCAACCAAGAAGTTAGAGCAGTTGTCCTGCCAAATGAAAACAATTGAAGAACTCAGAAAGATAATATATTGGGTTGCAAGTGTAAAATAAAACCACTCAATTGGATGATACAAAAATTTTCTTGAAACAAACATTCAAAGCATGCCGATAACAACTAGAGATGCATCAATACAAACATACATGCAAACATGCATCTATATATGAGATGGACTTATCCCCTCCTTGGAGGAACATAAATTATTCTCCTATATCAAATTTTAAACATAGCCTTGGAATGTAAAATCAAGATTGTCAATGATCCTTAACATAATTAAAGCTAGTGACACACAATTTCAAACATTTCTAAAATCATTCAAACATCCATTTTGATGCATACAAAATTTCTTGATAAATAGCTTCAATAGAATGAGAAGATATTTCGAGAGAAGGCTTAAAAATGACTTGGAATTTAAAACATAAATTACTCATGATGCTTATTTCAATGATTTTGATTAATGAAAAACAACAATTTCTATATAACTCTGACCATCATCAATTTTTTAGAATACCTGATGAATAGTTAAATTTTTTAACAGCTGTTGGAATTAAACCATAAGTAGATTTAATGTTGCAGATAAATATGAATGATGTGATTTAAGTTTGAAGACAATAAAATCTAGTGAACTTCAAGAAAACTCAGGAGAAAAATGTCAATTCTCCTCAAAAGAGGGTAAAAGTCCCTCTCTCTGCATGCATATGCGAATATATTTTATAGAACGAGCGTGTTTACGTTGAAGAAAATTTATTACCTACCCCGATCAAGAATTCATTCATTCATGAGGGTGTTTCTAAATGTGATTTGCCACAACGTAACTGAGACGTGAGTAAAATTTGGCTAGGCCATTACTCATAAGATATGGTCCACAGCCAAGCCAATAGGAATAAAAGTGATACAGGGTTGGCAATGACATATTTCATAATGAATCCAATTGTAATATGTAGGGAATATATTGCAAAGCCTAATACTAAAAAATGCAATATCATAAATTAAAATGATTAGGGATCACTTCAATAGAAAATTGCTAGCAGATTTAAGTTAAGAGTGGGTGAACATATGATTTTAAAAAAAAATCTACATACCATTTTGAAAATCTTACTAATTAGGCATATAACATGAGAAAAATATATTGCATGACGAAAAAGAAACTTAATGAAATGTGGGACGATTAAAAGAAATTGAAAATTGTTATAAGTATCTAAAATTAGGAAGATTTGTAGTAGGGAACGAGTAGGAAAATTAGCGGATACATAACTACAAAATAATACTGTAAAGGAGAATACGATTATATCTTGACTTTGTTAAACTAATTATTGATTGAAAAACCCTACCTAAATTACGAAGTGAATGCCTATGCCACCAAAAGTTTCCATCAGAAAAAAGTTGAACAACGAGGATTCATAGAAAGTATATAATAGGAGAAAAGAATGTGATGGGAAAAGTATTATTTGATCTCAAACAAGTATATATTTTAGAAATAGCAAGCACATACTTTATAAATGAGAAGATAATTAGGAACATTTAATAAAAAATAAATCAAGAGCATCACAAAAGGTTACTTTCTATTAGGAGGAAGGTTAAAAACTACTATAAAAAATTATTAGGTTAATCATGATATGAGGTTAACCACTTAGTATAAGGTATTGCAATAGAAGGAAAAAAAATCTAACTAAAAAAGCCAAAGTGAAGCTTAAAATGAATTGCTAATTGTTTTAAGAAGGTTAATAAAGAGCTTTAGGTTAGAAGTGAATCGTAAACAAGTAAAAAGAACACATACATAAAATATACCCTTTCAAAAAACATCATAATAAAAATATTATGACACAAAAAGAAAATATAAATTAGCTAAAGGAAATGCTAGAGGGTAGTAGGCAAAAGCAGGAGGTATAACTTTTGATGGTATACTCTTTTTTATTACTCTGAAAGAAAAGAAAAGGAGATAATAAGCGAGATGATGAAACAATATTAAAAAATAAATAGAATTCAAAATTGTGATTATTATAAGAGAACAAAACTTATTTAAAATAAAATAATGAGAATGGAGATGAAATAAAGGTTGAGGAACATCACAACAATATCCAAGAAAATAATTTTATTTAATGCATGGACGATTGCCAAGAGGTTATTTTTGTGTTGAGACCAATAACATAAAAGTATTGAAAGCAAAGAAAAAACACTCAATATGATTTTAAAAGGCATTAAGAAGCCTATTAATGGAGTACCATAAGAATAAACTTGGTGGGGATTAAAGGAAATAGACATGTGCCAAGAGAATATTGAAGTTAAAAATATGTGGAATGGAGCTGTGAACAGGAACAAATAATGTTTTAGAATGATGTAAGAATTCTTAAAATAGAATGGTCAAATCAATGATGAACATAAAAAATAGTACATTTTCATATGGTTTATGAATGAGATTACAACCATGATTAAAAATAAGTTTCATGGAGCATGCTATGCACTCATGACATGATTCAAATAGGTTAGAAAGTAAACAGTTGAATAATGGAATAAAACTGAAATGTAGGAGATGGAATTAGGAATTCAAGACTCACACAAATTACACGATATAGGGTATTAGATGATGTGAAACAATAATAGTCAATCAATAATAATCAAGGATTTATAGACAACGGGTACAATAAATTAAGATATCTTGAATTTACTATATAAAAATACACAGGATGCAAATAAGTGTACAAATAGTAAAGTAAGATGTCCGTTAAAATAAATAGGTTTCTCTAGAATATTCTCTACAAAAAATTTGGAAGTAAACTTCATATAAAATCAATAAAAGTTTTTGTGTTATATGATTCTTAAGGTTTAAAAAGAAATTATAACAATCAAATTAAGTATGATAGACATGAGAATGTTAAGATGGATGAGTTTTTGAACCATAGAGGATAAGGGAGATTGCTTTAGTGCTTATGTTTGAGCATTTCTTCTAATAATTATGTAAATGAATTATCTGTCATACGTATGGATTGTGAAAAACATGCTATGAGGCAATATCATCCACCTACTTTAGACTTTTAAAACCCTCAATCTTAATAGTGAATAAAGTAAATAAAAAAACAAACTAATCATTTAACAATACTTTTTTGATTTGCCTAACAATTTTGTATGACATCATTCTATCTGGTCACATCTTAACATAAAATACCAGAAAAGATGAATCTTGGCGGTGCCAGTATGAAATAATGGTTTTTATCCTGATGATGACCAGGATAAAAATATTTTTGCTTGGGCACAAAAAAATCACCTTAATAAATTCCTAAATCTCAAACTAACTTGAATTTGAAATATATTCAAGCAAATGAATAGGTGACCAAGAATACCCTAATACAAGTGAAAAGGAAGTAAAAATCGGGGTTAAACGGATGTCACTACCATTCATTCATATTATAGTCGTGAATACATGGATGAGGATAACATGAGAGAGCTTCCGAGATTTTTTTCAGCAATATTTCTCATTCCCAGTAGCGAAGTTTAATTTTGATGCAAGTTGTTTATAGTTGAGTTATTTTTTATAATATACAATAAATAAAAAGCAGATAGAACTAGTATTAACAAGATTGGAAAATCAACAATAATTCTTTAATTGAGAAATTATATCTCTATAAGAAAGTTCATAGGATAAAGCTTGTGTAAAAAGTTTAGTTCCCAGATTATGAATACATAGAAGAAAGAAATAAGACAAATATTTCTAATATGATGCACTTGATTCATCAGAAAGCGCACATCTGTGTTCATAGAACTAATATATGAATGTGGGCTTTAAAAATTCTCATATGGCTCTGTTGAATATATTCAAGTGATTATGGGTTGAATTTTTAGAAGCACAATCAATTTTTAGATAAAACACTACCCAAAGGTTTTCCCATCTATTTTAGGGCTTTATGATCTGGTTTATGATTTCTCATAGGTGCAAGCTTTTATGGTTAAGGCTATCTATAGACTCCGTGATAATTTACTTATATTAACAACAATTTGGATTAAAGGAGATAACATACCGCTACAAGCTTAAATTGAGTGGTGAGGAATGATGATAAATGATAAACACGATCAGATCATTATGACGTCTTGGTTTATTATGAACACTGGTCTACTTTGTCAGTAAAAAAAGTCGACTCAACCTAATTGATAGATCCTTATCAGCACAAATATATTGCATTGTCCAGGTGGCTGTCATAAATATAGGTAGAGAACTTACTAAAGGGACCAATTTTGAGCTGGCATTGGATAACAAATGGGCTTCAAACCTTTTTCAGTGCATATTATGGCACATGACTCATAGTCTTAGCCATTGAGGCACATTCAAACTTAGGTTGTAACTGTAATAAAGTGATGACATTGCAATTAGGCTAAACACTCAGTCAAAAGACATGTGTCATTTCCTTTTTGTAAGCTTTAGTCAAACTAAAATTTGTTATCTTGGATAAACTTGTGCAAAGGATGGTTAGGTGGCTACTTTGAGAACCAAATAATCAATTATTGCATGATTTTTTGGCTTTCATTTTTTTTTTTTATTTCTTATACATTTCTTTAAAGACCAGATTTAGATGTAAGAGTTCCCTCCGAATATGATTTATTACGATTATGCCCATCATGGAAAAAAGAGCTTGAATTTTATTTAATTTCTTTGATATTTCAAAAGCATTTTTTATGATGAGTATGTACTTCAATTATGATATTTTGATAACAAAACCCACCCATTATTGAAAAAAGAGCCCAAAGCGTATCTATTTTCGTAAGACTTTGAGTAGAAAATTTTATGTTGAGGATTCTCTTGAGTTATACTATTATGATAACCACATTCATTATCGTGATATGGGTAAAAGTATTTATCTTGATGGTCTAGAATTTAATTTTAGGAATGAATCAAACGTTCAATCATAACTTTTTGATAACCAAATGCATATTATGGAAAAAATTATTATGCCAAAACCTAGTCAACTATGTCACTTGCTTGTAGCATCAACTAAAGGCTCAAGAAAGCAAGAGTTATTTGGCCAAAGAGGAAGGAGTAGATGGAAATGGAAAAAATGTTGAATAAGGAGTGAGGGGAGCCAACCCCCATAAAAGTGCCCTGGACCACACTAAGGGCTCTTCAAATTCAATGCCTCTTGAATTACAAAACAAATATTATTATTATTATTAAATGTTTTCTTATTTAGAATTTTATTAATTATTTTTTTAGCTATTTATTGTTATTTTTATATTTATATGAGAAAATGACCAAAATGATCCCTTAATTCAAAATAATAATAGTATTTAAATAATCATATAAGTTATTAATATTTACAATAATATTTAGATAATTAAGAGTTAATATCCTTAAGATATTATTAGTTAAGTTAGATAATTAATATATGACTAAAAATTTTAAAATAATAACTAAAATTATTATTAATTCCTCATGTTAAACAAACAATTAATAACTTTTTAAATAAAAATTAGTTGAAAATGATATCTAATAAATAGTTTAATAAAAAAATTACTAAAATACCCCTATTTTTTACACCATTAAGTCTAACATTTATTAGTTTGGATGTTAGGCTCAAAATGGTCCCATTTTAAGTACTTGAGGGACAAATTGGTCCCTCAAAATAATATATATATAAGACCAACCATTAACATCAAAAAGAAAGCAAAGAAATAAAAATTACTGAAAGATAAGGAGTGAAAAGATAACAATTATAAATTAAATACATATGAACTTTAACCTTTGTGAGTTCTGATGCTCTTGTAAGGAGCATTAGATCACCATAAGCATGAGATGTCTGAACAACATTTAGGGCACTCCCCATCATACAGCTGGTCTGCAAAGTTAATACAATTAAAAGAAAAGTTAGTATCATCCTCTCTACAAATCCATGCTAATTATTTTGATTTAGGCAATTTCAATCAGCAGGCAATATGCATAAACATCTGTCTGAAGATTGAAATTGAATTAATATAGATAATTCAACATAGGTCAACTTACAGTTTAATGTGAAATAAACTTATAAAGGATCTACCAACAATATCACGTAAAATATAAGACAGACAATCATGCCAATTTAATTATTTCAAAACTATCGAATTAACTGAATTAGTTTACCTGCAGAAGACAACTATAAAATAAATCATCATTAGCATTATCCCTACTAATCGGATAATGAATACAAGCATTAAAATTTGAAAAATGAATAGAAAATCACTAACACTGTAATTCAATCAAGAACAAGAAAAATGAGTTTAAAACTCACTGCATAAGGATTAACAGGTTTCGCAATAATTTCAATTTAACGTTAAAAGTCAGGTTTAAGATACATATTGGCATAGTAATTTGGCATATACTTCCATAAACCAGTCTTGGTGATACTCACTCTTTTAGACAGTTGTAATGCAGTTTCTTCTTCACAAGGGAAAATGACAGGTAGATACTCCACCTACAAAATGTGGAAATATCGGAGTTTTTGTTAAACATTCCAAACTATAAATTAAGCAAATGCAGCATAACAGAAAATCTTTTAAGACCAATACTTCCATATCCACATTCATGATAAAATTGATGAATAAGATACACTCAGAAGAACTACTAAAACTTGCCAAAAAAGCTTGTTTGCATGAGGGAATGCACACACATGGATCCATTCATGTAGGACAACTAAGGTTTCTTAATCTAGATCTAGGATGAAATGCACAAGTTTACGTACACAGAATCAAATTCACAGTTCAAAAACTTTAAATTTAGAAAAGAAATCATCATTTTTTATGGAAACTATCAAGCATAAAAAATTAACTCTATATGATAATTTAATGATGGCCAAAATCAAAGAATTTCAACTAGAAGATTGAAACCATAAAACTAAAGAACTTGATCAAGATTACATAGCTATGAGAAAACCCAATTGTAACTATTTTGACTAAAATCAATCATTCTTGTAAACTAATATTGAATTATGTGGATGTAAAGAGAAGAAGGTAAGACAATACAAAATACATAAATTCAGTCCTTACCTATAGGTATAACGAGATGACGTACCACATAAATTGATAGTCGCAATTGCACTCTACTCAAATAACTTAAATCCAAATAGCACATAACCTCGAGAAAAATAGGAAATTTTATTAAGAAATCAATTGCACTTTTCATACCTCAAAAGGCTTAAAATAAATACAGAAAATCAAGAATTCAGTAATTTGGGTGAAGCTTATCAGTAGATAAGGCACGAATAAGATGGAAACACATGACTTAAAATACATTTCACATGATTTGTCCATTTAATCATGTACCAAAGTCGAATGCCAACACAAAATCCACATGCAACAAGGCTTGAAGGAACCACATCATAATGTTTCCACGTGTGAAGGTAGAGGACTATGAAGGTATTGTCTGGTGCCAAACATGATGGACGAGGACTCAACGAAATTGCAAGGAACAAAGGAATCACATGTAGTCATCATGATAGCAGTTTAAGGATTGGGAGTGGCTATAACATCGAAAGTAATTATAGGATCACATTTATGAGTTTCATGCCAATTTGCCAGACTTGAAAATTTAGCCACGATAAATTAAGCATTTTTATTCATCATCCAAATCTGAGAATAATTGTTACGCTTCAAGAAATATAATACATAAGTCATCACATTAAAATCTATCATATCAATGTATCTTTAGAATCCACCATTAGTAGATGATATAATTTCATCATCTAAGGTAGCTTAAAAAACAAGAAATACAGAAATTACTTGAATAGTGGTGGAAACAAATTCACAAGAAGATGGAATGACAAATCCAAGGCATTGGTTGTAATACCAAGACTCGACAAACTTTTGAGGTGATGATAATGAGTTTTCTTGGGAATAAGCACAAGTGCAATAGTCCTAACAACAAGATATTTATAACATTCCTCAAAATCTAAATTATGAATAAAATCAAGCAGGATTTTTGTTGTATTGCAGCTTAATTCATTCTTTAACTTCTTGCTTTAAGCCTTTAATGAAGCAAATGATGGTAGCATAATAATCTAGAGGCAAATAATTTTTAGTTGCAAGACATATAAACATAGCATAATATTAAAAAATATATCATAATCAACTTGTTAGTAATTTTTAAGAATAAGTTTAATATTAATTCATGGAGATTTAGCAACAACGCTTCACCAAAATAAGTTAAGCATGTCCCACTAATTTTGATTTAGCATATTAAACTCTGAGGGCATAAGATAGCTTGTAACACCTAAAAGTTTCTTCCAAAATATTAGTACATTTTGAAAATTTTGAAAGATATCTTCCATCGAAAGCAAAAGTATCATTTTGAACCTCATGGTACTCCTGTTGTGGTTGTCTATAATCATAATATACTCGATTCTGCTTAATTTGAATCAATACTGATTTTTTCTATCCTCACATTTATAGGTCTAACATCTAGCTAAAATGTTGATGCAACCTTATGATATGTTACCAATTTGATATAAGATATCTTGGGGACTAAATTAAATACAAAAAGACAAATTCATAGTCCCAAAATATTTAATTTAGACTAGAAATCACCTCTTATAATGAAAACAAGAATGTGAATAAAATTTAGTCCAGGTAATAATATAACAATAATTTAAATCAAATAATTTCAATCTCAAAATAAAAAAAAAAAAAAACCTTATCAAGAATCATGTCACAATAAGAAGCTTTAGTTTCGATTATTTTAACTAAAATTAATTATGCTTGTAAACCTATGTGCACCAACATTGTATACCAAAAGAAGGTATGCAGTGTTGGACACGGGACGAGGAAATATGTTGGACACCGCAAGAAAGTTCCGATTAAAATAATATTGGACATGCATGTCCGACAAGCGTCCTATAATCATGCATGTCCAATATTATTTAGAAAATATTTAAAATATTATGTTTTAAATTAATTATTTATTAATAAAAAATTCTATTAATAATCTTATCGAGCCATTTCTTTCGCATGTAAACCCTTTGGCTGACTCATCCAGGGCTTCCTTTCGTGCCCTCGTTAGTTGTTCACTTATTGCATATGAAGAGTTGCTGCTTCGCTCGCACTGTCCGAAGTTGTGCCGATGACTCATCTAGGGCTTTCTCTCGTACCCGTCACTCCTTTACTCCGTGGAGAAGAAGAGCTACGATGGCATCGGTTGAAAAAATGCGTTTATGAGCCAACGGTAAGAGGCTTTGATTTTTTTCTGTTGTTACATGATGAATGCTCATATCTCCACGACATTCCAGCAACCACAAGGCCCCATTTCCAACTCCGTCTTAATTTCCGTAGGCTTTGTCCCTTCGAAGTCCCGTGAAGACAGTGAGACAGCAAGCCAACGACATGTTAAGTCATAATAATTAGCTTAACACCAAAAAGTGGAAAAAACTTGATTAGTATCATTTGTGTTCTACTTATTTTTAGAGAAACTTATATGATTAATTTAGCATATCTTTGACATGAAATAGAAGTTTTGGAATGTCTAGCTCAATAATATTTTGTGATCAACAAATGCTAGTTGTTTAATTTTTTGACCTTTTTACATAATATTTTCATTTATGTTCGGTTATCTTATGATTGAAATAAATGATAATGCAAATGAAGATTTTAATCACTGTTGATCATTCTAGATGACATGATATTGTTTAAGCAAGATAACATCAAGTCATAGGCACAATTTTTTATTATTTATACTATCATCACATTGTCAATATAGATAGCACTGCTATTGATATAACTTTGAACCAAACAACCCTTATATTAAATGGAGTGCGTTTATGCAATGCTATTTTTACAATTCTTCAAGATTTAGTTGCAATTTAAAATGGATGCCATTTGGATATCAAAGCATAATCTCCTTAGTTGAATTACATTATGCATATGTGCTCTAGACAAGTAATTATGATATTAATTTATTATTGTTTGTCATTTCTAACATGATGCTATATTAATTTTTACACGTTATTTAAAAATCATAATGTCATGTCTGCGTCATACCGGTGTCCTATATTTTCAATGATGTATGTGTATCGTGTCCGTGTCGGTGCATCATAGTTGTAAACTTATATTAAATTTTATATATATATATATATATATTATATATCAAAAGAGAATAAGGTAAGAGATCACATAACACATTCATACAAGATGACTTCCTTTGAAAAGTTGTACTTTTACCATACTCAACGAGCTTAAAATTCAACAAGCACATAATTTTAAAAGAGGCAATTTTCTTTAGTAATCAATTTCACTTGTTCAAGCTTAAAAGCCCTTATATAATTACAAAAATAATCAATAATTCAATAATCTAGATAAAGCTCAACTATGGATAAGACATGGATAGTGAATAGAGATGAGACAATGGATTAGAAACAATCCGTCCATTGGATCATGTACCAAAATTGCATGCTATAAGGAAATTGACAAGTGATTAGGCTTGAAGGAATTGCTTGGTGAGGACAACATTTGTTAACAAAAAACACTCAAGAGAATCATAGTGCACTACATGTGATCAAAGAGAATTCACAATGGAATTGCATGTACAAGATTCATTGTTTCCTAAAAATCCGCACTCCAATATCTCTAAGACCTCTGATTTTTCACAAAGAACTACATAGCTTTTTAATTTAAATATTTAAACAAAACATAATAGAAGCACGGATGCATGAACAAACAATTGATCATCATGATTAACCCTAAATGTGGCATCATTATCTTATTTTTTTCATTAGAATAGGATAATTCCATTCATGCTTAGATCAATTATTGTGCACCTTTGTTCTTAACTTAGAAAACGAAAAAGTTTAAAAAGCAATGACATCAAAAAATAGAATGTGTGTTTGGTAAGGGCACTGATTGAACTCAAGACCTTAGCTATAACTTACAAGGCCCTTACCAACCTTACCAGCAAAATTGGATGGAGACAGCATAAATTCTCTGAAATTTTTCACATCCCCGTTTTTCTCTTGTGCCCCTAGATCACACACATCCAGGACTCCAAATCAAAAGGAACAAACCCAGTACAGAACTGAAGGTTTTTTACCGATACATAACCATAAAAATGCCATAACAATGCTAGACATGAAAACTATTCAACATTCAGCTGTTATTTCAACAACACCAAATTATTTTAAGGATATGACAGTACTTGCATATGATTAAGAAAGACAACTTGAAAAAATAACCAGATGTACCTCCATAAAGTTCTGAAACTGAGTGAACATCTTGAACATCAGCTTGGCAAGAGAAATTTGTCCCCTAAATTAAATTAATTTAACTAAATCATGAATGAAAGGATCAAATTTGTTGGGACAAAATTGTCAAGTTCTTACCATGACTGATCGAAGTGTACAAAAGGATATCGAACCACCACTGGCTGTATAGGAAGAGAAGGTATGAAAGCACCATTTTGAAATGAGATAAGGAACCTCCCATTTGTGGTGGTACCCTCAGGAAACAACAAGAGTCGAGGGAAGTTGTTGCACGAAGCCTTTCTCTGAATTCACGCCCTTAAAAACATGTTTCTGTATCAGATAGATAATAAGTGGAAACACCTATTTCATTATATGTAATGGTTTATATTTACTTCAGCTAAATGATCAGTCTAATATTTCCTCTGACAAAAAAGAACTAATCCCGAGTTCATTTTTCAGTTACAAAAAGTCATGTTGTTTATTATACAGATTGCAACTATAATTTGACACGAAATGAAAGTCCATCAGTGAAATAATTTTGAAATTAATACAAAAAAAATCCCTATAGAAACCAAAACAGCATTAAGCAGACCTTCACAAACTCTAACAACTTCAATATTTTTCTAGCGGTACAAGCCTCTGCCTCATCTACTGCAGAACTCAGATGAAAACATAGAAACATTTTATTTGGTCATCAGAACATTTCATTAATGTAAGTTTTGTTGACATGAGGTATTGAACACAGGCCAAAAACATTCCTTCGGCTACAAGCAGGTTAAATGGATTATATAATATCAATTGTTTTTATCAAGAGTTGTAGCATAATATAAAATTTTCAATAAAAGTACTACGTACTTTTCAGCTTACATATGCGTACCATCACATTGAAAACATTTCAATCAGTATCTTACACAAATAAAAGAAAGAAGAGAACTACAATTATGTTTTACAAGGTTCATCTTCTGCATCTATCGCTGACCTCCAATTCCAAAAAGAGCCATTCCAAATCATCCCAGTTAAGATTAAAACCAAATTTTGCCATCAAGAGTTTTAACATAATCATAATAACAAACTACAAATAAAAAAGAAGTTTTCCATGGCCCCATATTCTACTTCTCCACAATCAAAAAGTTTTTATATCAATTCTTGGACGAGCACACTGTTTCATCTGCAAGCTTATGTCAATCAACAGGAACCTAGATATCAGATCTTCAGCTCTAATATGTTTTTTGATATACTAAAACATAATATGTGATTTTAAGAAGATAATTTTGGCAAACAAACACAATTCTGCTAATAACGTCAATAAAAAGAAGGCTTTCCATAAAACAACAAATTAATATTAACTTTCCAAAAGAAAATTACATTAGAAGGTTTTCCATAAATCATCAAATTAATATTAACTTTCAGAGAATATTCAATTAACATGCATATGACCACTTAACAAAGAAGTACAATGTGCGAAGATAGAGGGACAATAAGAATTGTTGGTGAATGCATATTTCTAGATCACATTATTGGAATATAAAAAAAAAAAAAAAAAACTCGTGACATTATGCTAAAGGTTAGTAAAGCCTGATTCTAGTTTAAGACTCATTCCTAATGATGATTCAATCCACACTCCATGGATCCAACTATGGAATATTCTAGGGATATATTTCATGGGACAATTCTGAAGGTAAATTTAAATTGCTTTTACTCTTCTATTAATACCCTAGAAATTTTAGCTTTTGAAAGACGTTCTCTCTTATAGTTGTAATCTAAGCAAAATAGTGAAATCCATTTTTAATGCGGATGCAGGAAGAATAATCTCCAAATCACATAAAATCACAATGCTTGTTATGATATTGTTGTGATTTTCTTTCATTTCGTTCTTTACAGCTGATGTCAAAGCCTGATTCTTGAAATGCAATAATAGCGATGGAGGTGAAAGTAAAAAAATCAACAATTTAACAAGCGTGATTTTGATTTATGTGGGATGTCAACGAAGATTACTTGTATTCAAATAAGTTCATTAATATCTTCTTTGAGAGTAGCCAAAGTCAATGTGAAATAAAGATTGGGGATCCTAAACAAACAAGCCCTAGGAGTGATTCTCGTTACGATCATACAGACAACTGCATCCAATAAAAAAAATGAGAAAGCTATGGCAGGGATTGATGAAAATGCCACCAGGTGTAAATGAGAAATCTGCAACATTAAAATAAGGTGGATCTCATGGCACGTTTCTTCAATTCGATGATGTGTTGGGATCCTAGTAAAACTCACATAAGCAACATGAACTAATCACCGACTCAATTAAATTTTGTGGCGAGTACAAATAAGAATTAATTATCGAATGCTGGACCAAAGAAGACCATTGCCCAGCCCCATCATTAAGCATGTCAAACTAATTTTACCCAATATATTTAGAATTATAATCAAACAAAAGGCAATGAAGGATGTCCGTCAATAAAAAAAAAATCATGAAGATTTGTAAGAGATTACATGAAAATTTTCTTTAAGAAAAAAATAATTTTCTCAGCTAAATTATAAAAAAATAACAAAAATATATCAAAATCCATAAAACAGTTGTTCTATGTTACGGTAGATCTAAAAGAGAAGCATAATCCCCAAAAAATGAAAAAAAAAAAAAAAAAACTTTAACTTTTGATGAATAAAAAAAGTTCTACCTTTATCTCATTCACGGCATTCTTTCTGGATGATGGCGAAAACCGATCAACATATATAACCTATATGTATAAGAAAAATATCAAATGAAAAATCCCTATAATTAACTATGCTTGCTGACTGCTACCAAGCTTAAGCCCCAAAAAAAAAGTAGAGCCATAAACATATACATCCTGATTACATAAGCTTACCTGCATGGCTCTAATAATGGTGCCAACAAAGGGCAGGGTATCATGTGACTCAGAAGCAACAATCGTCGGGAATAGTTCATAGAAAAAGAATATGGGTTCAACATATGAAACATGATTAGAAACAACAACAGGAGCAACCTCTCGAGAAGCAGGCTTTCCAATACGATTAATCCATTGATACCTGATGGAGATCCAAAGCAAACCATCAACTTCAAAAAAATCGAAATAAATATCCAAATGCAGTAATTCAAATGGTAAAAAATTGAAATTGAGAGATTTAGACTGAATTATTCTATCATAAATCTAGAAACCTCAGAAAGAAAATGCATGTATAAGTATATAGAAATTTACAAACATGCTAGAAAATAAACATGATGACATAAATTAGCTAGATGGTAAATTGCAACTACTAGACAATCCTATGAGTAGAAAACAAATAGTGGAATAAAACTTCCATTTTTTAAGGTGATGCTAAATTATTCATGTCAAATGTGTGGAAATTAGCCAACAGCTAATTAAATGTTGCACTTAATCATTTGATTAATGAAACTGAATGAGGAAAATATCTGTATCTCAGTTCCGATTCTATGTACAGATATTCTAGAATGCACCTTACAATAAAAACAAATAATCAGCGTATACTTTATTCAAAAAAAAAAAAAAGTTCCTGTACAAAAAGCTACAAAATTTATCTATAGAACCTTCAGATTTTACCAAAGCTTACATGAAAATTGAAAGTTCGTAATTTTTTTATTTAAAAAGATTAAGACAAATTTCCAATATCACAAACAATCAGCTAAATGAAAGGAGCCTAGACAAATTGTTTATGTCAACAAAAAAGGGTCTAGCATCTATAGCTGATAAGAAATACTTGAGTTCGCTAGTAACCCTAAGATAATACTTGAGTTCGCAAGCAACCCTATCGCAAATTGGAGAGAAAACAACAACAAAACTGCTGTTTACAGCAGTTAACAGCCACAAATAGTGAAAAACAGCAAGAAATTGAGTAGGAATCTGAAGAAAATCAAGCCAAACACTTGTATTCCACTAGTAGATGAAAGAAAATAATAACCATACAACATTCTTCAATTCAAGAGGAAGAGAACTCTCCAAAATCTCTAGTCTAGAAGACTAGAGCCCAAGCCTCCAAGAAGATCCCAAAAATCAGCCCAAATTCAAGATGAAAACCTAAATCCCCACCTTTTCCCCTCTTTAACACCAATCCCCATACAAAATCCCTAAATTCTATTCAAATTTCCCCCTCTTCCATTCAAATATTCCCTCCAACACTTAAATTAAACCCCATCATGGGCCCCAAGGCTTTCCCCCCTCCAACACTTGAATTTGTGGGGCCCGCCTAGAGTAAGGAGCCTAACACTAGCCCAATCAAAAGACATGCACTATTTGTTTATAAATTAGTACCAGACTGGTCCACCAACAAGTACTCTGAGGTACTTCAATAAAAAGTGCCTCTTTGGGAATTAGAAAAGACAAAAGTCAAGGATACCAAATTAGGTCCTTTAGTGCATCAAGAATGTGTAACCACGAGTGGTCATAATGCAATCATGGATGAAGATGGCAATGGAGTAGATCTACTAGAGTCTCTAGAGAAAATTGTGGTGTGAAACTGAAGGCAAGATGCCACGATGAGGATCTTGAAAGATATGATTGTGAGATATGTGAGGTTGTGGAGCAAGTCTTGATGTGGCAATGACTGAAATAAGCGAGATTTTGATACAAGTCTAAAAGGAGACGACCATGGTGCAAGTGAGATTAGTGCGTAGGTTTTATAAAGATGATTTTGGTGCAATACAATGCATGAGTAAAGGAGATGATTGCAACATAAGGAGGTTGCAGCGTACGCCTTAAGAAAATAGTCACAATGCAAGCAAGGTTTTGATGCATATCTTACTATGGCAATAGCTATAGCACAATTGAGGTGATAGTGTAAATCTTGAAGGAGATGATTATGATGCAAGTAGATTGATTGGAAATCTAGAAAGAGATAAACATGACTCAAATGAGATTGCTGCATAGGTTTGAATGCATCTGAATGCATCGAAAAAATGTTTATGCAAGCAAGGATTCAAAGCAACTCTACAGGTGATGATCAATACGATGCAAACAATTAAGGCTGTCGCTTAGGTTTATACTATATGGCACTGGTGCAAACAAGATTTTGACATAAGTCTAGAGGCGACGAAAACTAAGGTGTAAGCAAGGTTGCAGCATAGTTCTTAAAAAAGATGGTTGTTGCACTAGAAAGGTTGTACCACAAATCTACAAGGTGACGAGTATGATGCAAATGCAGTTGCAAGCCAATTGATAAGAAAATAAGTGTGATGCAAGGTACTTTATAGTGTAGGTCAGTACGTAGCAATGACTACAACACAAGTAAGGTTATAATGTAAGTATTAAAGAAGACAACTATCACACAAGCAAAGTTACAGTGCATGTTAAAAAAATAGTTGATTAGGGTTGTGGCCTTCCGATAAAAGACAAAATCTCAGTCCCATAGATATAGGCTCTCAAAGATGATCTAACAGTTATCAAGGGCGAACAATCCAAATAACAATTCATTAATGCACTCCCAAGTAAAAAGAACACAAAATTACAAGTTTAGTCGCCCCTAGGTCCTTCTAGATCCATCTGAGTGGGTAAGGATAGGAGTCCAGACTCATCTCAAGTCCGAATCTTCTAACCATACTCATCGAGATCAAATTCTTTTGACTAACCAATCAAAGATAGTATTCAAGGAGTCCTACTACAAATAGCTCTACAAGGTGGCAAGCTCGAATTCATTAAATTCAGGTGTCGTATTTGGCTAGGGGAGTCAATTTGGGTTAATGGGTTAAGTTTTGATTTCACTAGAATTTAACTCAACCAAAAATGGCTTGGTCCAATTCCCACCATTGATTATACGGTCATAATTTCTTACTCAAATTGTACTCGATGTAAGTCTAATTGACCTAAGCCTGACGCATGTGACCCGTTTATTATATAGTTTATACAATTCTTTTGTGTCAACATAGTGTAGTTAACTTAAATATGACACGTTGAGGAAAATGAAGGTAGCTGCCTTGTTAAGGTGATGATGCATTTTAAAAACAAAAATTAAATGGGTTATCTTCGAGTTAATTTAGGATTTTTGAATCAACCTGAATCCAACCCAAAAATTAAACGAGCCTACATTTTAGACTCTAAGCTGACCTTGTACAATTCGGGTCAACTTGAACTTGAATGTTTTATTCATGTCCATGACGAGTTGTCATGTTGACCATTTATTAACACCCTATATTCGGCTTTTCTCCCACATTTTAATCAAAATAGTTGAGTTAAAATTCTACTGACTTTCCAAGCTAAAGATAGCATTGAACACCTCTTGATTCACTTGGATCCACGAGGTGACCATCTCATGGCATTTGTTAAGGTCATGTGTTGAATTCAACGTTTCCCTTTCGACATTGTCATCCAGGAAAGGCTTGAGTCATGCTTATCTTAAATATTTTATGATTTTTTTTAAATATAGTTTCTTGTATTTCAAATTTTATTTATTAAAAGAATAAAAATTGAATATTTTATTTTCTCTCCACATCCCAAATCAATCACCCGTACTGAATATCTCATTCCCCAAATATTCTCATTTTCATTTCTATCTAGTAGGTAATGACTAGGGTTTAACAACAACACCTGACACCATCTCAACATTAACATTTGACATTGTCACAATATCAACATTTCAAAATCATCTCAACATTGAAGTCTGACGTTGTCATGATATTGACACTCAAAGCCCGTAATTTCGACACCCACAACTACGACCCCGCGTCTCCTCAAGAATTCATTTTTGTTCAACGTCGTCTCAATAATAATGTTCGATGTTGTCTAGACATCAATGCCTGATGAACAATGCACAACATTGATGCCCGACTCCCAATAGTATTATTCTCCCTCCTTGATACTTGACACACGACATCAATGTCCAACTCTCGACATCCTAATATTAATTATTTTAAGCATAAATTATTGTTAAATAATTTATTATTTCTCAGTTATTCTTAATAATTTTCTTATTCAATTTATAAACACTATTTTTAAGATATAAAAATTATAATACGATGTTCAATCCATATTCGTGTCTTAAATCTCAATTAATGTGTTCCGTGTCTGTGTCGTTATGTCATAGCTTCCTATCAATTCTTAAGACAATTATGCTTGTTTGATCGAGATCTTTGGCATGAAAGAGTAAGAGCTCATTAGAGATGTTCATAAAAAATGATGATACAGAGTCCAACCCATATTCGTGTCATAAATTTTCGATAAATGACTTATCTTGTGTCCGTGAAATATCATGTTTGTGTCGTCATGTCATAGTTTCCTATTAATTGACAAGGAAAATATGCTTGTTTGATCAAGATCTTTAGCACGAAAGAGCAAGAGTTCGTCAAAGATGTGCAGCGCATCTTTTTCATGTTCTTTGTCAACAAAAACACAACTTCCAACAACCCACCAATCAATAAGTCTTATCTTATAAAGTCTATTATGTAAACTTGCCTATTCTTATCATTATCACAATTCAAGCCACTTTTTCAATCTTTCTTGTTCCTAATCCATTGGGAGAATTCCCATCAAAACATCATGTTAAACTGCCACTAGATGATATGTGTCACCTCTGACGAAGATGAGGATTCTACCAAGCCAAAACATGCTTGGTGAGCTTAAGTCAAGTGAAAGAAGCCTTCACTTAAGGAAATACTACCCATAAAAATTGAACTGGGTTTCATGCTGATCCACATGGGCATTGAGGTTCTCCACATTGATAGAACCATCAAATGTAAGATTGTCAATTCAAGGCTTACCTTAAAGGGCTGATGCAATCCTTCAAAAGAAGGATAAAAATTTTGGCCTCTAAGTTATTTTCTCTTTAGCTTCTCATGGTCTCTGAGTTATTTTCTATTTAGCTTCTCATCGTCATCGAAGTAATGTCATGCTTAGAATCAATTTTCCATGTATATTGGTTTTGGAGCCAAAATACCAGGATTTAAGCCTTTACCTTGAAGGCCTAATGTCATCATTTGGAAGAAGGATCAAGATCTTAATCTTTGAATTATCTTCTTGCTAGCTTCTCCATGTCGTGATTGCAATATCTTCCTCGAGAACAAAGTTTCTTGATATTTTGGT